CTTTTCACCTCTCCTTCATCCACTAGTTATGAACCATTTCCACCATTCCGTATCAGTATAGCATCCCATGACAAATACAAATAGTAGCATCTAGTGTAGCATCAGCATATGTGATCAGCACTGGTTTTTCTATCTAGGCATGTACGAGTATCCTTAGCAGTATATTTAGTATGGGTAAAAGAAAAATAGCAAGAATAAAACCTGGCATTCTTATTTCCAATCAGGATATCAGTCTTAGTTTGCTGTGATGGACTAATAACTTCATAGTGTCCATACTATCTGCCTTTCTGAATCTTCAATTTGATGCAAAGAATAGGAAGTTAGTGTAGTAGGGAATTCCATCCCTGTTATTAATTTGCAGGTACAACTAACATCCATCCAGTGCTAAGAAAATATTTCACGCTCTTAAAAAGGTGCAACTCATACCTTAGTTCTCTGAAGCTGACACAAGTTTCAACATATACACGTACTTAAAATGCACTGAACAATCCCAGTCCTCTTTCGTACTAACATCTCAACACACACATACTTTTATGCAGAGATGAAGAGTCCTGCCCAAAGCACTTGGACTAAGGCTGTAAATAAACTTACATGTGTAGAAAGGAGGTAAATGAGTGACAGAGAATAAAAGAAAAATATTTTCAGATTGTTACCTAGACTGAGCTCACAAAATCAAAGCAGAAAACAGTTTCCTTCCAAACTAGTTGTAAAGCTCAATTAATCCAAGAAATCTGCTATCTAACTAACAACTGTTTCCTGGGGTTTTGTTGAATTTACTGTGTTGAATACATTTTCATTTATTGGTAGCTTTCCTCCTAGTGTAGTAATATTTCATTGTAGTTTTGGCTGCTATCAGATATTTCTTGGCAAACAGAATTCATGGGTAAAAGCTTGAAATCTAGGCAAGATAAGGAAAATCTGTGGTTTGAAGCATTTTACCTTTAAAAATGAGATTATATGACAGTTACCTCACACTTGGTGTGAGAAGTTCAACCCAGTATGTCTATCTGGCTAACTTCTAAACCTTGCTGTTGCTAGTGCAATAATACTGTATGATCACAGGCTGTATTGCAGTTTATGGAACAACTGCATTAGTCTAAGCTGAAAAGAAAAGAAGGAACTTCTGGCCTGAGGGTCTGAGCCCCAGAATAGGAATTCACTCATTTTTCCCTGGCACTGCATATGCCCAGTTTTTAAGGTCTTAAGTGGCAAGTCATGAGTCCTGGACTGAATTCCCCAGTTCTAGAAAGTTTCATTTTTCTGATCGTGACAGAGGGGGAAAGAGATGAAAAAATATATATAAATGGACAGATACATCATATGGGCCAAAGTGATAGGAAAACAGACTTTGATGTCTGTTGGTCTTAGGACCAAGATTAAATTGTTTCACATGCAAATTCACAGGCGCTTCATCCCTTTTACTTCTTCTGTACTTAGTAATTTGAGCTGACTTCACTGCAGCATTCACCTCAGCCATTCCCACCACTGTGCACCACCACAGCATGGACCAAGTTATCTTTCTAGGCTTTACACTGACCCATAGTCAGACAGGAATTAAAAGCACTCTGGGCTGATTCATTGCCTGAGTGTAATGAAACTGTAACCACTCACTGGTGAGCAGGCTTCTTACTGCCAATCCAGAAGATCTACATACACCTTTACATTAAAATATCCCAGTGGGAATCCAGAGCTGGATCTAATAACTTCAGGTAAAAATAAAGAAAGCTGTTACGTTCAGACCATTATTGTTCATGCTGCTTTGTGAATTTATTTCTTTCAATTTTCCACTTGTGCTCCTGCCAAGAGAGATCTATTAGACAGAAAGCAGCAAGAGTAAAACTTTATCATTTTCTTTCAAACTATAAAATAATTTACATCACATATTTTACTTACTTTTGTCTTTTTTTTTTTTTTTTTGAAACCACAAACATTCCAGCATCACACTGTAGGAATAAGAATAACAATAGAAAGCATAACCTTTTGCATAGTATTAAATGAACAGACAGAGTAAGTTCTTTATTTACAATTATTGTCTAGATAAAAAAATTCATAAAAACAGATGAATGAACATATATTAATAACCCCTAGTGGGATGGATTGCCAATGTACCACTGTATTGTTGTCCACAAATCTCATGCTGCTAAGTACAGTACGTAGAGAGCGAGCATTTATATATTGCAGGGAATTTTAACAAACTGATCATTTTGTTTTTTGATCCATTGTTCCCATCACAGAGAGGTCAAGCAATAAAAGAAAGGAATTGTGATGCACGACTTGTAGTTGAAAGGTCATAGCTATTTTGCTTTTTAAAAAAAAAAAAGTCTATCATTTATCATATACATAAAGCACAGTCTCTGCTCACAAAAGCCCAAGTTTTCTATGCATCTCAGTTTATATATGTTTTACTATATATACACAGAATGCAGTGTTCATTTTCTTAACAGTTTTCAAGTCTGAAAATGGTACCTTAGGGAGGGGTACTCCTACAGGAAAATAAAAAAATAAATGAAACCAAGAAAAAATATGACGAGTGTTTGAAAATAAAAAGGCAAACAGTCAGTGTGAAGATGCTGAAAATAAATTGTTCCAGTATTAACAGCTTCTGTAGATGTTCAAGTCCAAAGCTAGAGGCTTCCCTGTAAATAGATAACACTTTTTTTTTTTCTTCTGAATACGATATCCCAAATAGGCCATAGAAACCCAATACATGTTATACAAAGGTTAATCACCGTATTTACAAAGCGAACAATCCTGACTGAGTTTCAATCACTTTGTTGCTAGGAGTTAGCTAAAATAATTATGTTTTCATGCTAGCTTTTTACTGTTAAGAAATGGGCCACACTATCTGTTCAAAAGAGAGTTGTATATGCCTTCAAAGACCTGTTCTGTTGTTCAGTGAAAAGTTTGGATCATGTAGCGAACTAAGAGTTTGAGCCAAAAACATTCAAGCTTCTACACAAAAGTCCAGAGGCTGGCAATTCAAGCTGCTTAGAGCTTTACCTGGCTGAATAGTCTTGATGCACCCTGAAAACATTTTAGTCAGTTCAGTCTGCAGTTTGGCCATGAGACTAATCTTGGTTTGGAGAGTTCTGGCTTGGTTTTGTTCTTGTGACTGCAGAGATGCACCACTTTATGAGCCAACTTTAAGACAACCAGTAATACCTTAAGAAATCAATTTATCAAGCTAGTTTGAGAGTGTTTTTCAACACATCTGGCATAATCAATTGTGTAATTCAAAATGTCTTTTGCACTGTACAGTTATGGAAAAGATCATATGCTGAAAAGTCTCCAAGCAAACTTTATATTAAATACAAAAATTATTTATGAAAAATCTGTGATCCACAAAGTGCTTAGCATTCAAGTGACATAGTAATCATATAAGCTCATAAATTTTAAGTTATCAGGGCTGTTACCATCTTGAAAAATATTATTCACCCTCCATACTGCAGGTTTTCAAAATAGCTTTCTTCGTAGAAAGCTCAAGGTGAAATGATGTATTACTGTGTTACAGTATACCTTGTGACTACAGGAAGACAAGCTTGGTCAAAAAAAAAAATCACACAAAGCACATCTCAATATACAATTAATAAAGCTTCATTCAGACCTAATAGTGCAGAAATTATATTTTTCTTAAAAAAAAAAATCAAAGTAACAACCTACAGTGATTTTCATCCAAAATGCCAACAGCCCATACTTTGCATGTAATAAGGAAATAAATGCCTAAATTACTAACTGAAAAGGATTAACACAATATATCACAATATTTTAACATCAGTTTTATCTCCACATAGACAAACCAAATATAACTTATTTTAAATTATATTTATAAACTCAACTCAGTTTCATATAATATCTCTCTAAAAATATTTTTGGAAGCCATTACCATATGTTTAAAGAATGAAATAGCCTCCATTATTGTATGTTGCACCAAAACAAATTCAAGCAGATTATCAGAGGGGGAAAAAAAAAAAAAGAGAGAACCTGATCATTTTGATTTTTATTTGAAACAAAGGAAGCCTGTTTTACCTCCCTGTATATAGGATCACAATGCTACATCCAATGTGTTATATTTTGGCTTCTTTTGTTATTTACTAGCACTATCTACACTATTTAACAACAACAAAAAAAAAATCAGGCAGAAATCAGAGCAGGGTTGTAATAAAATATCCAGGGTGCAATATTACAGACGTTTTCAATGAGCTGAGCTGAGCCATTTTTATACTACTTCGGCAGGAAGTGCTTTCTTAACCCTACAAATAGTTAAGGATATTATCTACAGGTTTGTAAACAAATTACATTCTTTTTTAGGACATAAATAAGTTAAAATAGTCAGAGCAATTTGAGCAGAAACAAGGCAACATGCCAACAAAGAAACTTTATATATATATAACTATATATATATAGATAGATATATACATATATATAATTAATTATGTATATACTTATATGTATATATCTCTATATATAGTCTCATAAATGTTTAAGTTCCTCTGTCCAACTGGTGCAAATCTACTGTGCAAGTTAAGCTTTGCAACTTCAAAAAAGTTATTTAAATTAATCTATACAATTGAGTCCATGCCACACAAGCATTTCAAAAAACTCACAGACCAGTGAATTGGATAAATAGCCTCAGAAAGAAGTCCTCTGCAGATTTTGCTTTGAACAAATGGGATAATTGGGTTAACGAGGAAAAAAAAAAAAAAAGAAGGAAATAGAAAGAAACTAAAAGAGAGAAAGAAGGGCCAGAAGTGTACAGTACATTCATGCAGGAGGATTTGTTTTTGTTTTCTGAAAGGGAACAAGAGGGGTATGTAAATCAGCCATTCATTCTTTCCCCAAAACCATTGTGATCAACAATTCATTCACTTGTCTCAGAGTGAATAAGAGTTCAAACAGCTTTTCAGCCAGCAATGTTTTTAATATATATATTTATATGTTTCGGTTGCTGTGGGGTTTTTTATTTTATTTTATTTTAATTTTTTTTGCAGTGACCTTTTCAGCTAAAGTGATGTCTCCAGGCTATGTATTGGGCTTCCTGGACTAGAAGAGGTAGCTGATTTACTTGTATCAGTTGTAAGATTTATTCCACTGTCGATAGCACTGTTGTTCTTGTTCAGCGAAGACGGTGGACTCGAGTTTTTCTTGAGAGCAGGGTCTTCTTCTAGGTCTGTGTCATCAATGAGTGGGATGTGGGGCTGGGAATCTTCTATCCTAAATTCAGGATGAGTCATAAAGTTGTGAATAGAGGTTCTAGATTCTGGTTTTTCTAAACCTTCATAGAGAGAGCTACGGAATGCCTTCACGACGCGGATCTGGAGGGGAGAAAAGGAAAGATATGTCAGAGGTAGCACCTTCAAAGGGCAACATTGTGTTAGAGAATATTTTGTGAAAAATGTAGCATATGGTTAGGGCAGTGCAGGCAGCTGAAGTCCATAGTCTCTGGATGTTATATGCATAAACGAGTGGCTCAGTTATGTGCATTTTGAATATCTGTATCAACTGCAATATTAAAATAAACCAAGTTTAAAGCCATCAAAGAAATGATGGGAAGTACTGGTTAAAGAAAGCCAACGTCCACTCGTGTGGTACATCCCTAGTAAAAGACAAGCCATGTTAATTGTAATGCAAATGTAAAACCATGCATGTTGATAGTTTTGCAGTGAGTAAGTAGGAGGGCTTTTTTAATTTAAAAAGTCTCTTATCTTGTTAAAAAAACATTACACATAACGTATCACACTTCACAAACAGAAAAGCACAGAACGCGGACATAATTGGATGGGTACGTATGAGACACACACAGGAGCCAAGTGTAAAAACTATAAGTAATATCAATGTTTGAAAGCAAAATCTAAATGAATGCAGCCAAGAGCACAAAAAGCCAAGCAGACAAAGTACTAAGCATAATCATGCTACCACAGGGGAAAAAAAAAATTCACAGTTACCACATGAACAGAGATAACTTGCACACAACAACTACACTTGGAAGCCTGGATAATGTGAACATAGTATTGTTGAACCAACTTTTATTTTTCCTTCATGCATATGTGAGGTAAACACTCGAGTATAGACCCACTGTTCTAGCCATTTAACTTTATAATATATATAAAACATATAATAAAATAATATATTGATTGTTGGGTTGAATTGAATTACATTGTTGAACAGCAAGTTTTTTTCATTTTCTGTGTCTCAGTTGTAAAACTGTTAAGTTAAATGCTGAAAGTGACACAATTTATGCCATATATGCAGTCTTTAAACTAGGTCAGCTGACTTATGCCAGGGTGAATTTAATGTCATTAACCACCTGACAGTAAGAACACAGGTGAAAATAAATTACAAGACTCAGCCCATTAGACTGTCAGGGACAGTGCAAATTGCTTTCCTGCTAGGAAAGGAGAGGAACAGAGTGAGGAGCATTGCAGAGTGGGGACACTAAGTCCTCTGTGGGTGGGCAAAGGGAGGGGATGCTGTCTATATCCCAGTGACCTACCAGTTCAGAAAAGAAGTGAAGGTTTGTGCTGGTTTACTGCTGAAAAAAACATAACTTTTTGGAAGGGGGGACGGGGGGCAAAGAGGGAAAAACAGAATGGCAAAACGTGATCTGTTGGCAAATGTTTCATGACTAGTATGAGTTCTATCCTTCCACTTCCATGTAGTCCATGAGTGAATTTTTAGCGTTTCTTAGAGGGGAGACCAAAACACAGGCAGAGGCAGAAAAGGTGCAAGCAGGCATTGTGAAAGCTTCTCCACACACATTTGAAATGGTTTGGTGGTTGGCATGTGTATCTTTTTGCATGTAAATATGCTGCGCATTATTGGTTGGCCTAATACACCACTAATTTCTAAAGCTTTAATTCCTTTAAATTGGCAGACTGCATTTTAGTAATGGCACGGTGTCACAGCGTTACAGCTGTGGGATCTAGCTGATCCTGTGGTTGGAGTCGTCCAAGTAGCACATAATTTCAGCATATTTGAGAAAGATGCTGACTTGTATTTTAATCTCTTTGACCTTTGTCCTTGTTTATGTTCTCTAAATTTGGATATTAATCATCTTTCAAAAATCCTGATAGCAGAAGTCAGTCATGCCATCTTCAGATACGTGGCCTTCAGTCAGACCAAATACTCTCCCTTCTCTTTATACGTACATTTGGTAACAGCAGGACACATACAAAAAGTAGTTCATGTGACTGCTTATGCTCAAAATAAGAGGATTGGAGTGGTACAGAACAGCTTGTCCAGATCTTGGGATACTAGAAGATTTGAGGAGGCTGGCAGAGGTGCAAGACAACAGGAAGATAAGATTTCACACTGCAATCATACAGTGTACCTAACAGCTCTTTTACAGAGCACCTGGAATTATCAACCAGGGTTATATGAGAGCTGAATCTCTTTGAGTTGTACTGTGCTATGTGATGGTTCTGTATAGCGAACAGACTGGAATAATGGATTCATTTGCATTACTAAAGATAGGATTTGAACTCATGGAGAAGAGATGACATACTAATTCCCTCATTATCTATACCTTTCTATCTTGTATTTTAAAGTGCAAAGTAATTAGTCTAAACAATGAAAAAAATAGTATGTTTTGTCAAGGCAATCTAAAAACATGTTACAATATTGTCCTATTTTAAGTCAGGAAACTTTTTGTAACATGCTTACTTTACAGTATGGGCTGATATGGTGACATTTTCTGCAAAGCTACCTGTTATTTCTGCTACCTAAATAAAAATAACGGTCATCTCATTCAGTTGCAGCTGTTTGCTATATCTTATCAACTAGGAAAATAATTTCATTCTCTCGAATACAGCCACTTCTTACTGCATAGATTTAGGTTCTATTTGCCAAGTGGATTCTTTTTAATAAAGGTAAATTTTTACTTAAATAAAAAGCTTTGCAATTTGATATTATGCTTGAACAGATCCAGCAGAATCCAATGAAAGTAAAGTTTTTCTTCAAGTCGCACAAACTGTATTTAAGCCTTTACAGGTTAGCAAGGGAGGAACCGATTTCAATTTACAAAGCTCCAATAGGGAAAGCATCTATATTGCATTTAATACCAAGCTTTTAGTTAATCTAGCTAGCTGACTAACATCTTACACAGCTGAGGGAAACCTATAGATTTAGGTTGCATTTGAAAGCCAGTTATGAACACCTGCCTGCCATGACCTGAATTTGGTACTCTGTACTGACTGCTTGAACCAATGATCCACTGAAAGAAAACACTACACTAACATCTTTTGCTTAGATGTGTTTACACAACAATCTGAAGATACAATTGCAGAATGTACAATCAACCAGCAGTCATATCACTTTGTGTGAAGATCTGTGGCAAGGTTTTGGCATGGACTGTTTGAGTCTTGCTAGTGATTTTTACTGGAAATAGTATCTTAGAACTAGTTCAGATCTGTTGACACCTGAAGTACCTAATCTTCTGAATGCAATGGTAATGTAAGGGCCAAACTTGGGCAAATCCCTAAAGCTGGGAATACATAAAAAGTCAGCTTTCTACTAAGTTTTCTTCACTATGGAGCTGTAGAAAACTACCTTCTTAAAATTTCTCTACAGTTTCAGAATGTATATATGGTTTCCAATAATTGTTCACTTAAGCAGAAGCTTTCTCCTCAACTTTAAATTTTGCATATTTAGCTTGGCATCTAAAGGAAAACATTTATTTTTTTTAGTGTCTCACCTCATTCAGTGACAGAATTTCTGCATCACAATATAGTTCAAAATCTTGTTCATAGTCAGTGCCCCAAGGTATCAAATTATTACTTACAGGAACAAAACTTGCTTCTTTATGTTAGCGGAAAAAAAGGTAGAGGATTTGTTGGATACAAAGGTGGCTTTTCAATTTCTATATAATACTACTACCATATTTAAGCTAAGAACTGAAAAAATATTTACTCAGAGTTACATGGCCCAACAGCAACAAATTCTTTTAATACATGCTTAAGTTCAAGATTTGAAGTAGTATCTGGTGTAAAAATGTTCAGGGGCTCTGCTGAAACAAAGCTCACATTACTTTTTTGAAGATAAAATAAAGTGGATGAACTTCATGTAATGTTGTTATGGTCGTACAGCATGTAAAAGCAGGGACATACCTATGATGGAGAGAACCTAGAGAGTCTTGGTTTATTATGAACTATGTAGAGTTCATGTAATGGTATTTCTTTATGATACTGACAATGCCAAGGGAAGACAAACAGTGTGATACAGCTCCCTTTTCTCACAGTAATGGAGACAACAGAAAAAAAAAAAATGAACTGCTTTTAAACAAAAGACTGCGGGGACAACACTTCAGGACATTTTTGACATTGCTATAAGTTTCCACTTCTTTCTTCTCTGTAGCTGTAATAGAAAAAACTCTTCAGTTTCATCCCACCTTGAAAGTTAGATTTATTATACTGCATCAGGCAAGAAAAATAAAAGAAATAGAATTTTAGATACTACAAATTTTTCCCATCAGAAGAAAAAGATTAAATTCAGAATCTCACTTCTAAGTACAACAATCTAGGCAAAATACACAAGGCCTGTTAAGCATCAACAGATGTATTATGGTTGGTAGTGTGTGGGCTTATACTCGAATGTTTACCTGGCTTCATATAAGCCAAGTATCTTGAGTTTGGTTCACATTCATTTCAGGCTCAAGGTTAAAGACTCACAACCTCTTTTTAT